TCAAAGTATTGTGAGATATTTTTTTTTTTTGGTGTGGCATTGTAAGATATAGGATCTTCCAAATTATTATTTGAGTTGCAGGGAGGTTCACAAGAACTCTGGCATTAATAGAGGTTATATGAGGATCCAGATTGTTGGGGGCAATATGCCGAACCCTGTAATCAGCTAAGAGAGGGCTGTAAAGCATTGTGAAGGGGTTTATAAGTCTAAGTACTGTTGCTATTGTTCCTATTGTAGGGCAAGGATTCAGTTGTACGTCTTGTTCTCGAACTCTTCTTTTCTCACCACATTATTTTAAAGAGGAGCAGAAAGGCGAGAATTGACATGTCTATGGAGATTCTCAAGTCATCCAGATCATGGTTTTCCCAAAGGTGCTTTTCAAAAGACAACTGAACGTTCTTGGTTTTTCCTTGAAAACATTTCTCATCCAAGATGAAAAACAAAATATTTTCAAGGGAAAATCAAGAAGGTCCAGTTGGCTTTTGAAAAGCACCTTAGGTACAAAAATTGAAATGCTACCTAGTGGTTGATATTGGAGCTTAATAGCAGATTCAATTCTATTCACAATAACAATTCAGAGCTGCTTGCAAAACCCTCGATCTGATCTGTTCCTCAAAGTGGTCAGTATTGATCTCTGAGGATCAATGAAACCCTCCAAGGGATTGATAAATGTCTGGGTGTCAAAAACAGGTCAGTAAATGTCTGGGAGTAGAGTGAACTTGGAAGAGCATCATGACTTAAAACCAAAACTCACCAATCTCGGAATACACACTGGGAAGGATGCCAAACTCAGGTAAGAATGGACAGGCTAGAAATATTTTCATGCTTTGTTTCCAGCACTGGCTCATGTGCAGTCTGTCCTTTTAAATAGTTGTCACAGCTGCAGCCCATGAAGGGGATCAAGGTCCTTTCCTCCCCTGTAGACCACACCATTCACTTTTCTCCCTTATCCTCTCCTCCCTGCGTGCCCTAGGATGGAAAGGGGATGGGCCTGGGTCCTTCTCTGACTGCCCAGCTGGCCTGTGCCCTTCCCCGGCCTCCTCCACAACCTCCGGAGCCACACTTCCACTCCCTGTCAGCTGTTCCTCCTCTCCCTCGGAGTCAGTCTCCAACAGGGGCATGACAGTCGGTAAAATGAAGAGCCAGATTGTTGGGTGGGGGGGGCAAAAGGCTGACTCTGTAAACTGCTTAGAGAGGGCTATAAAAGCACTGTGAAGCGGTATATAAAAGTCTATTGCTATTTACAAAATTATTTTCATGTAATAAATATTTCTGGGCTGACGAACAATCTGAAACTTCATGAAGGGATCGAGAAGTGGAAGAGTTTGGGAGGGACCCCTAATTAAACTGCTACAACTAAATAATTCATCTTCATAAATACATAAAGTTGTTGTCTGTTACAACAATTCAGTTTTCATTTACCCACATCAGCTTCTATTGAACAGCTCAAGGTCCAAGGGATTAAAGCAAAGGGCATGGCAATGTTGCTTCAGCTCGGGTAGGATCGGTGCATGCAGAGGTGTGTTTCTCTGTCTGTCTGGGTTAGCGAAGGAGCATACAAAGGAATCAATCTACCTTGCCCTACTGAAAGAATAAATGGCAAGGAGCCTAAGAGCTGAAGAGATGCCTGCATTGATCTAAGAGCCTCAGCCAAGAGATGAACCTCAATTATCAATAATAATGTTAGGACAGACAAGGCAACTTCAAGGCAAATATAGCTCTTCGACTTCAAAAGGAGAAGCCTGTGAAAGCAACATCCACCCCTAAGCATGACAAGTTGGCAGGTTCAGGCCTTTGCAAACCTGCAGTTAACTCCTAGCAATGTCTGTGGTTAAACTTCAGGAGCTCTCAAAGGGCAAAATTAATAATAAGGGCAGAAAGGAAATGGCCCAGGCAGCCAGGCAGCTGCCCTCATCATTGCTTGGTGGTATCGTAAACTTGGAAAGAAGGTGAAGGTTTTCTGAACAAGAGAGCAAAATTCAGACCTGGGTTTCCTTTACCGCTTTCATTTTTAACATTGGAAAGGGGCCTTGCTCGACCTTCTCTATGAATCCAGTTCTGGCCACCAACTTAAAGGCTGCGCAGAACGGCCGCAGAGGTGAGAAGCAGCAGAAATTTCAAGAATTTGTATGGATGATTCCCCCCCCCCCATGCTGTAATTAAAACCACGAAGATGCAGAAATCACAATCCAACAGATGGAAATAGAATTCCCTCAAAGGCTGACCCAATTTCACTACTTCATCAAAAAAACAAAACCATTTTCCTCCTGGCATTTTGAGGCATTGCCTCTTCTTGCTTCCTTTGCCTGGTCTGTCTGTCTGTCTCTCTGTCTCTGTGTCTGTCTGTCTATATCATCTGTCTGTCTGTCTGTC